GTTGGCTTTTCAACGGGTTGTAGTTGATACTATGGTGACTGAATTGGGATGTATGCTACGTACGGCGATACACCTACAGCAGGCAGCAGCAGGCAGCAGGCAGCAGCAGGCAGCAGGCAGCAGGCAGCAGCACCCGTGCTACAGCAGTACCACACATCGTACTTGCCCAACCGGACGCGCAGCTTACCTCTGGGTTATTAGCAGCCGGGTTGGTGGTGGCAGAAGAACGTGTCCTCAATCCCTCATGCGAACCCTGGATGGCGGCGATGACGGGGCAGGACATAACCCTGTCTGCCCCGCAACCCCCGCTTCCGCCGCCTTGTGGTATGCCGTTCTTCCGAGCTGCGTTTCGCTTGCCCGCCATGATGGCGTCAGCCTTTTCGCGGGCCAAGTTGGACAAAACCACTTCGCTAGCCTCGCAGTAGCCTGTGTTCTCCGCGGCTTTTCTGCCCTTCCTCTTGCTGTCCAACAAGGTGGTGCGAAGCTTGATTCCTCGTTCGTGTGGGGACCACTTGTGGATAACCTCGTATCTTGTTTGGCCAGCATACATGATGCGTGTACATTCGCCAGCGGCAGTCACCGCTGGGCCCTGGCCGCGCAGCATTTTCAAGCCCGCTTCCCACCACCACTTTTTGTCTGACCAACTTTCTGAGTGGCTCTACCCCCCCTAATTCGACCAAGCGGAATCGATTGGCGACGATTCCCGTGGCGAAAAAGTTCGGCAATGCGGCGAAAAAAAAGTTCGGGCTGAAGGGGAACTTTTTTTTTTTGGGAACTTTTTTTAAACGTCGTTTTTGGGCGTTTGAGAACGATCTGCGAAGTCAATTTTTTTTTTTTTTTCTTCTCCGAGGTGGGAAAGGTGATTCGTCTTTAGCTCGGAACCCGCCTGTGGTCATTTTTTTGGGACGAGGGAAGCGCCGAGAAGAACCCAGATACCACGCCACCTGTACATTTGCACCAAAGACTTTCTTGGGTACTGCCTGGTGCTCCGCTTATTGATAGAGCTGTTTCCTCTCAAACAATAGTACAATGACGACAGCGTCGGAAAGAAGAAAGACCATTTATCCTGATGGCCAGTGCCGGAGAGCAGCAGACGACAACGGCGTCCAACCCCCATCGCCCTAGGCAACACTGCATATGATCGAAGCAGTGAGACAGAAGAAGTGTAATCACCAACAGCAGTCGATGGTCTTTAGTCTACGTTTTGATTTTGCTGAACTCCACAATAAAACTGGGTGAGGCTAATACAGCCGAGGAGAGCGAATCAATGCGAGATATAAAAAAGAGCGAGTCTATGGATACATGGATGGATACATGCAACATCGTACAGCATGGACGGCCTCTTCTGACCCTCTGGCCTAGTCTTGCTGACACGTTCTTCATATTTGCCCCCCCAGGTTGAAGGGATAGGGATGTGTTGAACTCTTCACAGGAGTTTGTGTAGTAAGCACCAGCCCGCATCAAAACGCCTCCGTCGTTCACCTTCCGTCCTCTGCTTAGTGTCGCTATTTAGTCGTTGTCAAGACGTTCTTGTTTCAGCGGCGGTATCCAGTTACTCACGTGCCGTTACCCGCAGGTCCAATCCCCGCCTAAGTGTGCGCTTGAATGCTTGACGAAGACGGAGAAATCTTCAGCGTGTGCATTTGAGCTTCAAGCTTGAATGTCGGTGGTGTTTCGGCATTTCTTTGAGCTTCAAGCTTGAAACGTAAATCACCAGGGACGAAGTCGTACAAAATAACGATCGATCAGGATCAAGAAACGAGACTGATGCGGTACGCACAGTCTCGCCGCTGTTACGCCGCATGTAGACTAGACTATCCATATATGCATACCACAACCGTCCTTGTGAGCGAGAGGATACAGAGAGAGAGAGAGAGCGAGAGAGAGTGAGAGTGAGAGAAAGTGCATGACTAATGAGTATATCAGCGCTTGCAGAAGCAAGGGCTCCTTCAACAGCACCAATAACAGAAGCAAGGGCTCCTTCAACGACTGACTGGGTACACACACACCAGGATATGGTGGTACGAATACACAGCAGCACAATCGATGGTCTATCGTAATCGTTCCATACACGACACATCTTTGTACCTCACCGATGCTACGGTGCTAGCCGGATCCTGGCGAGGCGAGTGCCAAACCGACGGGTGCAACGCCGAGAGAAGTGTGGCGAGTGACGGCCCCTCCTGTACCTCGACAGCAGTGCTGTCTGGTAGCATTGTTTCGTCGTCAACTGGGTTTTTTCGCCAGATGCACAATACAATCGCAGCCCGTTGGAGTCTTCAGAAATCGGGGGCAATGCCGCGGCGGCGGAACGACGACGCGGGCAAGCACCACCACCAGCGGCCGACCCCTCAAACAAAAAACAGGAGCGACGTGATCTAAGAGACACGATTCGACATTCCGCAGGTCTCTTATACAACATCTCATGTAGTCTAGAGCTAAGTCACCAACGTATGATTGCCTTGTTCCCCTCGCAAAAATGATTTCCCTCAACCAACAAGGTAGGCTATTTCCTCCGTTCCACAGTCAACTAGACAGAGTCGTAGAGAACGTTGCCGATCGAAGAGTTTCACTTCGTTATAGGGAAGAATCAGAGAACGACTCTACTCTAGAAGCAAATGTCAGGTTTCCTTAACGTGTTCGTTTTAGTCTCCACAGAAACTGGGCCAGTGAGGGGCGGCGGAACCTCTGTCACCGTGGATAGAAACGCATTCTAACCGTGCGTGTAAGTTGCATTACAATGCACCTGTCTACATTTTTCGTGCAGGAACTATCAGGGCATTTCGCCCTTGGTAACCTGCTTTGCTACGTCGACGTGTTACACGGCAGCGAGACACCTCTTTGCTCGAGAAACCGAATGGCGGGCGGTTTTCAACGATTTCACACTCGTCCTGGCGTGGAGCCTTCAGGTGAAGATACACTGTACTTCCAGTGGGATGTATGTATCATGGTAGCTCAAGCCTCGTGGGCACACACACTTGGAACACACATTCATAGGCATGTCGACCACGAGGTACTTCAAGCCAGTGGTTTTGTACCCTCCAACTGCTGTATTACGCTCTAACTTTGCAACACACCACATCCATCGAACAGGAAGCAGCAAGATATCTGGAAATCGACAAGACCTTCGAGACTAACTCAGCAGACAGCATTCAAGAGAAGGTGGGTCGCAGCGGTCACACACACAGTCACATATTTCCATGCTTTGTGTACCGGCCACTGTGACATGGAACAATGAAGAAGCAACAATTGATACTTGGTCGTACCCGTAGAGAGAAGAACAAACTCCAAATCTGACCAGTCTTACGAGTAGATGCCGCTTTCCTCCGGCCTGATACTGTACGTTACTACAACACTCGGTGCAATCAGGTTGACGACGACTTCCTTGGGAAACTGCAGGATTGCTTTGGAGTGGTCAGGTCCGTCAACAAGTCCGACGTGCTCACTCTTGCATCCAACTTCGGTTCTCTCTAGGCCGTGTGCGATGCGACTGCAGGCGAACCGTCCTTGTGCCTAGGCCTCGGGGAGAAAAAAATTGTATGTAGTACACGAGGCCCTGCACGAGCCATTGGTGCGCACGCACAACAGTTCCAGACTCAAGCGGAATAGGACAAAGGGATGAAGGAGACAAGTTCAAGCGAAAAGCGTGTATGCAAGGTGAAACCGTGAAGTACAGTGAGGTTGGCCAACAACACCTTGGAAAGGAAAATTCAAAAAACACAGTTGTACACATGGAACGATCGTAGTCGATCAGTCCTTCGGATCCTCCACCCCGACAGGGCCGATGGAGAACTGACATTCACTCTCCGCCAGCGTTGGAGAGTCGAACACCTGGCAAATTCGGTTGTCGCCTCGCGCTTTTCGCAGTCGCAATCTGGAAATGAGATCCAGAAAGATGCAAAACGACACATAGACGGTAGTTGGCATGATAGTCGACAAACAAGGCTATTCTGCACTCCCATTCGTGTGCTTCCTTCTCGACCAAATGCACACGAGCAGAGATGTGTCGAGACAGCAGTAGCAACGTCGCTAGAAGGCGGAAGCTTTACACCTACAATACAGCCGTTTACACTCAAAATATCTCACCGTGTGGTGGAAGCATGCGCGATGATGTTTCCTCCGATGGGCTTGGTACTGTCTTTAGCGAAGCTCATCCCGTCTGGGTTAGCTACTACCTGGTTGGTCAGGACCACAGCGACGCCAAACTCTTCCGCCATCCGTGTGAGCTGCCGCAAGAACCTAGACGGGTCATACGTCCGAGATGAAGAAAGGAAGAATCGTCAGAAACGATGATATCAAGGACGCCGCCCTTTACTCCGCCCTCTTATTTTCTCTAGACTACTGCTGTAGTCTGTTGTGCTCAGGTAGTCGAGGAGATCCTAGAGCACATTGTTGTCTTGACCTAACAAAACATTACGTTGGGCAAACAAAGCGTGTGGTGCTGTTGCTTCGCGCGCACTGCAAAAAAAGCTGGCAGCGCCTGGAATTCAAGAAGCTCAAACGTCCTCGTGTGGCTAGGAACGGCCAGCGTTGCACCACGTACTAGCTTTCCGCATCAACCCACTTAGATACACGTAACGTGCCGTGTACAATGAATAGCCCCCTCTCTTTCCACTCACTGTGCCAGCTGCATTTGTCTCTCTGAAAGCTCTCCTCGGCCACAATAGTCCGTGCGGTAGAGGGCGGTCGCGCTGTCGATCACCAGCAGAGCGTACCTAGATTGGTCGTTAAAAGGTGGAGGCGAAGGATCGTGTCAACTCGTGACGAGCTGTATTACCTAGTAGGTTATGCGGGCAACGCGCTGCACGGCTACATTGACGTGATGAACGGTGACATCTGAAAAGGGAGTATTAGTTACCTGTCCTCAGCCATCATCGCTGATGCCATCTTCAACAGATCCATTTGCTGCTCAGAGTTGTGCGCCCTAGCGTAGGCAACGTTCTCCAGCACGTCGTCTCCTGTTTCAATCAGCAGCACCGCACCTTCATCAGCGATTTTGATCCTCTCATTTTACCGAACGTGAAAGCAAAATGCCACGAATGAACGTGCTCTAATCCATCAGCGGTAGACGCTTGCTGCAGGTGGTTATTCGAGTGCAACCAAAACGACCAAATGAACGTCGAAACCTGGCGACCGAGGCGAACATGCCAGGTTCCCAACATCACCCCAACACCTATGCGCGTTGTAAAAGGGTCAGGAATCTGTGAACTTGGAAGGATCTGAAGTACAAACAAAAGGGCAAACGACCACCACAGGGTCGTCCACAACCAACACAGCAGGGGAGAACACGGGGAGGGGCGGCAACACAAGTACCAGGCACACCCTTCCGATCGTTTCGACATGAAAGACAGAGAGAGCACGCGACTTTTGAGTCGCCACTAAATAGGCCCGAACTACTTTGAACAGAGAGTAGGTGCTCTGCTGTGTTCCATTTGGAATAGAGTATACTCTCTATTGCCATTTACCCAACTCGTTCCTCGTGAGTCACCAAAATCCACGTATACCTCCCCCGGATTAGTCTGCATTGCCTTCTGCAAGGGAATGTCCCGTCGTGGCGTCTGCTACAGCAGTAACTGACTCACCGTTAAGGCCGAATCGCTCTGCGATCGCTGTTAGTCGCTGGGGTCGGAACGTGCCTTCGGTATCGATGTACATGGCTTTCCCCTCCCCTCCACCGGCATCAAGAGGCATCTGGCAGGCCACGCAGAGGGTGTGGCACAGCTGGGTCTTGCCTGTACGAAACTCCCCAAAAACCTCCGTCAGCGACCCTGTCTCAATGCCCCCCTCGAGCAGCTTGTCTAGCTCTTTGCTTCCGGTGGTCAGGGTGATTAGGTCTTGGCGCTGGAGCAAATGCTGGGAAGCTGTTGTGAAGCCGATCGGGACTAGCTTATACACCGTCTCCTTGAGCTTGGCCGCTTTCTGCTCGCTGATTCCTTTCACCTCCACCAGCTTTCGAATAGTGCAGTGAGAAATCTACGACCGGTGGTGGACGCACATGAGGGGCGGCGGGGTTTTGCTTAGAAGGCGAAGGCCCCATAAACGTTAAAATTGAAAACGCCTCACAAAATGATTGAGATGGTGAATCATGAACGGTGTGGAGACACAACCACGACGTCTGTTGTTCGATTTCCAATCTCCATTCAAGGGACAAGTGAACACTCCAGTCACCGTTAGCCGTTTCTATCATGATGCTGTACCTCCCATGTTGTCGCAGTTACACACAGCAGTGCACCGCCGCAGGAACTGTTTGCCACCACTTGTAATTACAGTCTCTACACGTGTGTGCAACACTAAGTAGTATTAGCCTAGCAAGTCCGACGGATGCTAGTCCTGCTACGAAGTAGCACGCACCCATCGTCTACCGTCTTCACCGAGCTTACCGACTCTATGGTGCAGTAGCCGGCCTCTGATAAGCGCTGAATGTCGTTCCGATTGATCCCGTGAGCTTCCAGCTCTGTGATGTGGTGGAATGAAGCCACTACCTGCCAAAACGCACACATGGAAACGGAGGAGGTATGGGTATGGGGCGCACTGCTGTGTGGCTTGGCGTGGCGTGGAAGCCGCTATCTCTGACACGGAGAGGATGTGCTGGCATCCTTTAGACTTCACTACGTTTGGGTGTTGGTTTGAAAACACTCACCTCTTCGGCGGCTTCGCCAGATTGCTGGACCTCTCCGGATTGCTGCATCTCTTCTTGGGCCGACATTTTGACTTACCTCGCGAGTGCGTTTCTTCACCTGAGGCCTGCCTGCTCCGTCCACTGTCCAGTAGTGAGTCTGCAATCAACGACGCGCGCGTTCAAATATCAGTGTCGCGAATTTGCCGTGGGGGAGACGTGAATCAAAGATGGGGTAAACGGCGCGCTCATAGGACCTGGTAGGCATTTTTCCTCGACCACGGCGCGCGCGCCGTTACACATGACGACAAACCCGACACCCGACGAGGACGACCCACCGGCGTGCGAGAACGGGGACAGGGGCTGCCCGTGCGCAGCATAGCATGCAGCGTCGAGAAAGAAGCAGTAGCTTCTGCTGTTCCATAGAGGTCATAAAAGACGAAGACCCAACTCTGACCCTGCTCGGCACGCCGTTTATTCGCTCAACGTTGTCCATTTTCGGGGTCGAGGTTTGAATGTTCTGACCACGAAACCATGGTCATTGGACCTCAACCGAGATGTGCCATCCTCGCTCAGGAGCGCTACGTCAAGTTCCCCAAAGAAGGTGACAGCATTGTTTGTTGCGGTATGTAGTGCAACTACGAGGTAAAACGTGCAACATCGTCCTGTGCACGGCAGGGACAACTCAGGAATCAGTCCTGGCTGTAACATCACTCCCTGCTGTGTGTCCTTCGGTTATTTGCTACCCTGAACCTCCTGGTATGTACCCTACAGGAAGGGTGGAATTTCTCCGTCCTTATCTGGCACGACTAGGGCTGTTCCCTCCTCGTCGCAACCCCGAGAGTGCTCCCATACGCATGGAAGAGCTTCGGGCTCTCGTTCGCAAATGGAATCTGCACCACAAGAGAAACTTTTGGAGGGAGAACCCCACAAAAGACGACGTCGTTGCTGCCTTGAACCACCATATCAAACACATGAAGCTGGTACACGACCATATCGAGAATAAAAAAGCAGAGAGAAGGGAAGCTGATAGGAAGCGGCAGGTGCAGAACGCGATTGGCGAGGGTGTGAGCTCTTCGAAGACTGCGAACTGCATGAAGAAAAGGCCGCCGTTGGAGACGTCGTCCGATACATGCTTGTACAACGAGGGGGTAGCTCTTCCTCGACTTGATAGACCCGCAGATGTCAGTCTTCGGCCCGACTCTATTGAGTCCGGAATCATATACATGTCTCGCTGGAGGCAGGACAACGGCAAGGGCGACAAGCTTGCAAGCGACAAGGGGGAACAGGATGCCCTACAGGAGAAACTCGAACGGATGAGCGTCTCTCCTCAACACGATGAAGCAAAAGACGACGGAGATGTTGATGACCTACAAGCCGCCAAGGACGACATGAACAAGATGCAAGCGCAGCGAAAGTGTTGTTTGGCCCTTGTTAACATGACCATGCGAGATCAGGTACTAGTCTAGACGGTACATAGAACAGAAACCCCATAGACCTATTGCACTGGTGTAGGCTGGGCGCCGTTATCTGACGACCATGTTGCATAGCACTGATGAGGACTCACACACAAGGTATTTGCAATGTTGCGTTCCTGCTCTCTCAGCGTCCTTGCTCACTCCGATCTTTCACTTCTTGCGGCGTGCCTGTTCGTGGCTACCACTACATAAAATCAGATGAGCCAAGCCTTCTTGGATGAGTACGGCCTGCTCCCGCCGCTTCTAGAGATCACCCATGCCAACCAGACTGTGGACGTGCTACTCATGGGTCTCGCATGTATTTTGAACATTCTGAGCGAAGAATACAAGATCAATAAACTTGTCGAAGCCGGTCTCATAGGTGTTGCTAGACCGCTCTCAGGCCACGAAGACGAGCGCGTCCAGCAACACGCCGCGGGAATTTTTCTAGCGATTTCATCATGTTCGGGCCTAGAGGAGTGGCTGGTGAGTTCTAAGCAGTTTCAGGTCATAAAACGATGGACAAAGAATTTCGTTTAAACAGCCTTCTTAAGGTCCTAGGCAGGCCCTCCTGTTGCACTCCGGACTGTGGGATAACCTTTATCTTCTCTTCTTGGCCTTTTCCATCGTCAAACAGGTCCAAGATGGTGCGATCCCCGCACTGAATGCGCTTGCGAGGAGTGCAACGGTCCTCACCGCACAACTCGCTACTGGTGGTCTTGTGAACATTGCGATAACGTTGACAGCTGCTCAGGCGGATTCCATGCAGCGGGTGGTGATGCGGACCGTTACGAACCTGTTGTCAGGCTCGTGCGATTCCGATGGCTTGCACTTTTGCGCGTTGGCAGCAAAAAATCTGACAGTGCTAGACAACGTGCGGGCGTATCTGGACGATCAAGTGGCAGGAATCGCCATAGACATTTTGGCGAGGCTCGGACCTGGCAGCGACGACACGGTCATTCTTTGCACGGCTGCTATTTTCAACTGTGCGGCACAGAAGCAATCGCGTCTTCGAGCTACCGAGAAGAACTTAGTCGCTGAGTGCCAGAGACTTATCAGCGTTTGCAATTCCGATGCGCAGCATAGCTGTACGGTTCTACTGGCAGAGCTTTCCAAGCACACCGACGTCGCAAACCGGCTGTTGGACGGAGGAATCTTGGATATATTCTCGACGAATCTCAGCGCTGCTGATCCGCGATCAGGTATGGATCAAACTTGGTAGGCAGTGAGAACTTTCTGCTTGCTCGCTACGTCTACAATGTTTGTTTCGTGTGTAACGGGCTATCTCCCAAATACTGTACCGAATTTAGTTCTCTACCCGCGCGCACCGAATAACCCTCATTTCGCAGTCGCTATATCTGCGGCTGGTCTAAGTCACCTAGCGGCGGATCCAGACAATCACTGGCGTGTTCTCGAGTCCGGCAACATGCTCACGATGTTGCTTCAGGCACTTATTCTTGATCACGCCTTGGCACAGCGCCACGTTCTTCGCCTGCTATGCGGCCTCGTGTCAAACGAAGCCACGCAAGCAGAAGTGGTGTCAGCCGGGGTTGTGCGGGCTGTGCAAGAGATGAGCAACAGAGACATGCATGCGTCTGCGATCAGTCTCATCCTGTTCAACATATCTTGTAACCCCAGTCTCTCTGGCAGGTACGCAGACTCACCGGTATCGCTCGACGGTTGTGGGGTAGAAGCATGCATGCGCTCCACGTGAATCATTGCGCCGTTTCGCCAATAGCCAGAGGGGTATATTCTAGCTGTGTACCTCTCGACTGTACCATTGTCTGTCCTGCCGTGTTTCTTCGGGGAGCGTATGAGTTTGAAAACACGTGACGTTCGATCACTTTTTTATGGTTGCGAAGGGAAAAAGGTGTTCTGCTTCGACAAGAATCACTCAAAACGTTCCCTATCTCTCTTGTTGGGTCCATTCTTCTCAGCTTGCTCGACGAAAGCCTGGCCGTGCCCATGTTGGTGGAATTGGTGAAGAAGCACAATCTATCCGTTCGGGCCGCATGCCTCGGAGCTTTGAAAAAATTGTCGTCGGTCACCGCTTTTCACCGACGACTGCTCGAGCGAGGCGTGTTGGAGGCAGTTGATTCGTCGAAGGATGTCGACGGAGGAGCTCTGAGTGCCCAATGCGCTGCAATTCTCTACAACTTTTCCCTTGAAGAGAAGAGTATTTCCAAAATGATGGAGCTCGCAGGCATCTTCCTGGTGACACATTTGTCCTACTCAAACATCATTAAGGTCAGCTCGAACTTGTGCATTGCTTCTGTGGCAGACACGTGTTATCTTAGACCATTGCTGCGGCATTGACCTACATGTTATCTTCGTGTACGCAGCGACGTCATCTCTCTCTACCGTCGCCTTCACGTGGCCAACGTTTTATCTCTCCATCCGCGGATTTTCGTAATGTTTTATGTTCTTTTGATTAGCCCAGCGCAGCACATTTTTTCCAGGCGTCTACTAAAGAGTTGAAGAACCTTTGGATCATCCATCATTAGTGAGACTTGACCGATACGCCGCACTCTCTGCCCGACAGACGAAACAGCTCTGTGCAGCTGCGTTCTGCAACGTGACGATACACAGGGTAATCACCGACGAAAGCTTCTTGACGGCGCTATTGCTTCTATCCACCTCAACGGAGGCCGTTCTAGTTCTGTGCTCTGCTAAGGCCTTGAGCAATTTATCGACGTACCCACGAGGACGGTCTTCTCTCGGAAGCAACAAGAACGTGGTGCCGGCCCTCATTGCCATGATGCGTTCTGGAGTAAAGGACGCTGCCCACGTCCAGTTCTTGTCCGCCATTGCCCTCTGCAACGTATTGAGCGTCTTCCTCCAGAAAGAGAGCATTGTCACATTGGTGAGGGATGGTATGATCCAAGATCTCATCGCCGTAACCGTGCTACGAGTGGAAGAAGTCAAAACGAAAGAGACGTTGGCGAGGGCGATCTTCAATCTCTTGGCGAGGGAAGATACTCGGAGTCTCGTCGCAGATCAGGCTGTATTCGCATTGGTTCGGCTAACCAGACTTCAGAGCCCGGATCTCAATACCATATGCGTGCGCGCGATCTACAACTTGACGTGTGAGATGTCGCGGTACGGAAGAAAGCTGCTCGAAATGGAGGCGGAGCGAGTGTTGGTTGTCCAGGCGTCGTTTCCAAACGGAGGGGTTGAAGTAAAAAAGATGTGCGGGGCCGCATTGACTATGATGTCCTCTTCCGGGAAGGTCGCGAGCTGTTCTCTGGCGAAGAAAGGAATCGTCGGTGCCCTTCGAGCCATCATGTGCGTCCGGGATAAGGATACTCTTGAGCACGTGGCGACAACCGCCTTCAACCTGAGCCGTGAGGATTCCTGTCTACCGACCATGGCCGCCCAGAACATCACGACCGTGTTGGTTTCCCTACATGAGTTGGGGAACACCATTGTGAAGAACCTCTGCGTGGCAACCATGTGCAATTTTTCTTCTTCGCTTAAGGCACAGGATAATTTGGCCTCGCCGGCAGCATTTGGAGTGCTGGCAAACACCGTACGCGCCGGCTCTTTATCGCTTGCAACACGCTTAGACGCGCTTCGGACAGTGGTCAACCTTGTCACGCATCACGCGCCAGCTCGAGAAAAAGCTGTGGAATCGTCTACAACCTCTGCCCTCTGTGTCATCCTCAAGGTCAGCTAGGGTTCTCTGATTCCGACGTTTGTTGAAACTTGTTCCAAAATTTAGCTTTAGTTGACACGAGCGGGCGACTCCATAAGTTTCAGAGGAGTGGCATAAAGCGACCCATTCATGTGACACAGCTCCAAGCAAGTAGGCAGACTCCGGTCGTTGGTGATCTCTACTGCTGGTGGTATATGGCTTTGTGGTAAAGAATCGAGTGCGCGGTCTCCAACACTTGGGACGCTTGAAACACCTGTTGCTGCGAGACAACAGTTGTAGAGTGTGCTGCGGCCTCTTCTTGAAACACAGAGCATATACTATATATATCGTTGCACAGGCCCTGGTTGATGAGGAGGACAAGCTTCTGGTCAGCAAAGCGCTGCGAGACATGTCGTCCTACGCTCAAGGGCACCCGCAAATGATGAAGGAAGATGTTTTGCCGGCTTTGGTGCGCCTCGCCAAGGTCGAGAACGCCGAAATTAAGCAAGACGTCGCAACAGCTTTGTGTCGGTTGTCGGCGTCGGTTGAGCTGGCATTTGACATGGTTGACGAGGGGCTACCGGAAGCACTGTATTGGTTGACTCTGGAAGATCTGTTGGGCCTCAACAAATCTGTGTTTCTGCGTTGTAGTGTTGTGTGTTGCAACGTCGTCGTTTCTGACGATGCGTTGAGGAGGGTCTCCGGCGAGAGTGCGCGTTTCTCCAAGGTGTTGCAGCGCCTGTCCGACACGAGGGATTCCGAGCTCCTATTGAACGTCGCGATGGTTTGCCTAAGGATCACCGGCTTGCGCGAGTCAATGCTTGCGTTCCATAAAGGTACGGTTCAATGAACAGAAATTTCTTTCGATTTGGAGGAATCGAATTGACCATCTGTGTGCATTCGGGCTCCATTTGTGTCTTTCGTAACTAGGGTCCTCACAAAAAACAAACCATGTCGCAATTCGTTTGTTCCCGTTGTTTGTTCAGCGTTTTTAATTGCGTGACTGGATTGTTGAATAGGGCATGGAGCTCTGACCGGGGTATCTACGTGTAAGAGGGAAGCTCATCAAGTCAACATGAGAAATGAGCGCATGCATGCGTGTGTATTGTGCCGGCCGCTACGAATTCAGTTGGAGGTTACACGCACACTCTAACTTAACATCCCGCACCCCTTTCCATCGTATTTGGCGCCCTCTTCTTTTCAAGATGGACTGGTTGCGCATATTCTGGGCCTCTCTGGAAGAGGCGACGAAGACGTGAAGCAAATTTGTAGTACGGCGCTGAACCAAGTGCCTCCGGATATGGTGCAACTCGACGACAAGATGGTGAACGTTCTTGTCTCGCTTCTAACGGCGTCTGGGAGCTCCATAATTGGAGATTGTGGACATACCGTTTCAGAGCCATCCGTGCATGACCTGAAGCCGTGGAGTTTGCGATCTGCCTCTATCGCTGAAAATCCTGTCGATGTTCAATCGTCTTGGGTCAACTATGTCTGCCAAGACTTCGAGGTGAGCACGTTTTCGCGTTGTCTCCGACTGCCCATGAAATTCTCTCTTCGTAAGGAACCCAAAAGCAGACCCAGGATACAACCTTTGGCGCTACAACCAACCGTTGTTTATTAGGTTCACTTAACGGGACGAGGTGAACACATTTAACGACAATAGGGGTACATCCGCATGACCATGATGTTGCAACGGGATAGCCGCCGTTGACAAACTCCCCCGGTTACATCACATCTTTCAGTCACCGATCAACTTCCTTCTCGAAGTTCTAAGGTTGTCACTTCGTGCATCATTCATGGGTCCCACTGCTATGTCGACGTTACCTTGCTACGTGGACGACAAGTTTGCACTATAGACTATCGTCTTGCTTCCTGTCGCGTTTTGACGGGGGGGGTGTGCCTTCGATAGTTTTGGCAAGTTCAATGTGTATCCCCTACAGGTGAAATCTGTCGAGACCAGTGAGAGAAACGCACATGTCACATTGTAAAAATGCGTACCATGGAAATTCCATGAGATAAACCTCAAGATCGAGAAAGTCAAGAGCCAAACCAAGAAACCAACGAGTATCGCCCCTACCAGCGGCGCGCGTTACTCAGCTTGCACAAACACTGGTAAAACCGCACAGGTATCCCCAGCTCACGTGGAGCAACCACCTCTGTTACCCGGGAACGTGTGTGGAGCAACGTCTGGGCAGGCATCGGTCGGTGGCTTGAACGTACGCCGGAACAAACCAGAGTCATCTGAGGATCACACTTTGGGTGCCTTCGCCAAAATCGTTTTCAAGATCCCCAAGGGCTCGGGGACGCACATGGTCGCCACGCTGTCGAGAGAAAACAAAACATCGAAGCTTCTTGAAAATTAACGCCACTATGTAACTACAACAATTGACCAATCAATAAATTGCGGGCACCTTTTCTCTACCTCTAACCTATTAGCTTGGTACAAACATCTTATGGTCACAAGAGGGAATTTGGGGCGTCCGCATCCAGTCCACTCGCGTCTACACTGCTCTCTTTGCACGCGACTTCGGCTCCGTTTGGTGTGAAAATCACGCCACACGCTTGCAGGAACGCCACTCCATCTTCGTCTGTATCGAAGATCAGCTCGCCAAGGACGAACGATAGTGATATCGTAGGTCGGTACGCCTTGATAATTCGACGCAACGCCTCCACGCGCATTGTTTTGAGGAGTTTCTGCATGATGTGCTGACCAAGGTTGGGAGTGGTCTTGTACAAGGAGAAGAAAAGGTGGTAGTCCGTCATTGCCACTGCCTTGCGAACACGCAAAGCGTGGTTGATTGCCGGGGCTTGCTCGCCAGCCGGCAGCTCCTGAAGAATTTTCTGAAGCCCCGTAGATCCCCCAGAGCAGCTTGTTTGAAGGTAGAGATAGTACAGCACGCGGTATGCTGTAAACTCTTCCTGAGATCCCTCAAGCCCGCAGGCGTACAGCTCCTGCAAAAGCAACGCCAGGTGTGTCCGAAAAAACTCAAGCGTCAGACTGCTGTGTCAAACAAATTACATCCGACCCACAGCGGCCATTTCCAAGACAGGCCAGGTGATATACAACATCTGACCGTGTTATACCGAAGGTAGCAGCACAAATGGGTGTAACAATACCGCAGCTGCTCTTTCGTCATGCAACTTGTCGCTCCGTCTCCGTCCCAAACAGCTCCTTACTACACCATACTACGCAAGGATATACGAACCCTGCACCTGCTCAAACCTGAAACATTTTTCTCAGTGAAAAAGTGAGTTGGGCTCAAGCGAAGTGCATATTTATACTACACCGCCTCAGGAAATCAAGCCTGTGTGAAGAAACACTCTCACAGTACCAGCCCACTTCAGAAGGCGAACATCAAACTTGCCTGGAGCTGAGTTTGGCACTGGTTGTACTGGTGGTGGGGTCAAGGGGGCCACGGGCGACGAGGCCAGCGGGGCGAGACAGAGCAATCGAAGCGAAGGCAGCAGGGTGTGGCGGGAGTTGTCGTTCTCAGTGGGGGCACAGGTTGATCGGGCCCAGAGAGTTGTGTCGTTCACAGAAAAAAGTGCTTCGGCGACGAGTGGATTCGACCATCCGCGCGATCACGCTGGTTCGACTGGTAACAGCCTGAGTCGATCTCCACCGAGAACCTCACGGCATGCTTTTTTTACAAGACGCGAGGGCGACGGGATAGAAAGCGTGGATGACCTACATAGCAGCAGAATCTCGGAATGAGTATAAGCTTGCGTGCTTGTCTGGTCCTGCGTCGAAAAAGTGCAATCCTTCTACCTTCGTCTCGTTGATGTTGCTACTGAAAACCGTCCTGTCCATCATCTCGTTACCTCGTTTAGATCCCCCTGCTGCAGAGCAATCCGAGCGTGCCCTTCGTAAACCTGTACCGTGAAGGCGTTCTTTATCCGCTGGACAACACAATCCTGACGGATAGCCTTGAGTTGGGAGCAGGCATAGATGTAGTCCAGTCCTCCTTTCGCCCACTTGGCAGATATGTTCTCCAAGCTCTTCTCCAGGATAGATTGTGGACGCACGCTCGCTGGGTCTGGCGGCTTTGTTAACGTGCGAACCAAGGTGTTGCTGATGGGTCAGGATAGGCTATTTACTCCGGGCCTTTGAGTTGAATTAGTGGACAACACAAAAATCCAATTCCACGGCCTCTCCCTCTCGTGACATCGCTTGCATTCTTAAGTAACATTTGGGGCCTTCAGTGCGCTAGATTTCGGTGAAATCCTTCTCGTAGTGCAACTGGAGGACTACACCTTATCTCGAGGCGACACTGGATTTTTCAATATGTCGTCGCAAAAACGCGCACGCTCTGGTTTCGATGCGTACCTGGAACTTGATCAAATATGAGACCTGCTACAGATTGATTGTGAACACGCCATCCCGTTCAAGTGGGTGGGGCATGTTGCACTTCTGAACACGACGCGGGTAGACACTGCTCTGCTCAGCACGGGTGACTTCTGTCAACGATCACCTCCCCCAAAACAGATGCTAGGGTCCATGCGCCGACTGCAGGGTAACGTTAGGGACGAGGGTCGCCCTATCCCATGCGCACAGACCAAGCCCTACAAAGCCGACTCAGCGCAAGAACGGTACGAGGGAACGCGCAACGCACGTCGAGATACGGCCGTTACCGTAATTACCCATATGGAACTCAAAAGCATATCAGATACGGTATTGCAGACCAGGCCCATAGACTGAAACATGTGGTGGCCGAACCTGAGTCAACCTCAAGTAGTCCTTCTCGAGTTTGGTCGATGTCCCCTTGATTGTGATCGCGGCCCAATCCACCATACCGTTGTCGTCTACCATCGGCTTGCTCTGAAACGCCAGATCATTCCCCGGGCGCGACGACGAAGACGGCGGTGGGCGCATCCCCAGATCGAACCTCTCGAGGCGGTTAGACAACCGTCGCTGGTCCACCTGAGGCATTTTGGAGAGGGAACCTTTGCCCTTTCGTGGGGTACCTGCTGCGCGCACCTCGATCTGACCGTGACTGCAACAAAACAATAGCCAGAGCAACCGCCGAGGATGATAAGGAACGGCACAAAAACACACCATGTAATAGAGGCCAGTGCGGTTAGACTACACTGCCGACTGATTACATGGAGCTGCACGTTGCGTGAGGCCTCCGGCCTGCACAGAGAACCGATAGCGCGCGAAAAGCGGCCTTGACTCACTTTCGCTTCTTGTTCTTCTCCCCTTGGCGATTTCGCCCCGCTCCCCGCGGAGGAGACCGCTCTCTCTTGGAGGCCACCAAGCTGACACAGAGCAAACATACACGGGCGACAGCATCCGCTCAGATAGATCTTGCTACAATTCAAAACAGCGCACCCTTCTAGCATCAGGCGACGAAACGGGTTTTCGATGTGGTCAATAGTCTTAACTGTATTGTTTTTCTGGCTCATTTGACAGCAGATGAACCCCTTCCGTACCTAGGCAGCGGCTCGTTGTCCCAATCTTTTGTGAGCATGGTGTTTTCTGCCATGGCGTCCGTCACCTTGCGGTGCAAAGCCTTCTCGAGCAGCTCATGTTGCCTCGAACCTTGCTTTTTGTCGCACTTATCGAATGCTCGCTGCAGGTAGCGCCTGAGAGAGGATGGCCAAGCCCCGTCGTCTCCCGGCTCCTCCATGCGAGGCTCAGCTTCCTTTGGGGCAGGCGGCGCACTCCTGTGTTTGGCAAGGTCAGGACTGCCCCGGTGGCTGCCATTCCCGGTTGTTTGCGGCTGGGGAACCTGGGGTAGGAAGAGAACCATGGCGAAGCATTTCGTTTCAAACCTACTTACCATATGTGTGCACACCAGATAACAAAATTCGCAGGGAATCACGCAACGTCCATTCTCAACACAGCAGTAGGAGGCGTGGATTTTTTATCGGTTGCACTCGGCATGCATGGCAAATTTCGTACTCCTACTCTTTCACCTCTTGGCTCCTAACCAGACCCGCGGGTGCCTTTGATTTGTGGGTAGCAGCAGAACGTTGGTCGAGCGCACGCGTCTCCTTTTGTTCACCTGCATCGGGAGGAGGGGGCGGGGGGGGGG